CTTCGGGGAAGGGAGCGGGGCAGCAGGCGCGGGGCGTCCGTGCATCTGCGTGCTGGCGGCAGCAGGCGCGGGGCGTCTAACCGGGCGTGCAGGGCCGCGGATTCAGCCCGGAGACAGCGCGGGGGCGGCGGGCACAGGAGCCCGAGGACAGCGCGGAGGAGAGGCGGGTGCGGAGGGCAGGGCCAGCCACGCGGCCCTGGGGCGCGCGGAGCCCCCTTTCCAGAGTGCCGAGTGTCCGTCAGCGGAGTGAGGTGGAGAGACCCACTCGCCAGGGAAAGCGCCCTGGCCGTTGCGTGGACACAGTGACGCATGTGATGAATTCTTGATGGTCAGAGTGAAGAGCATGGACAGCACTACGGACCAGTAGGAAGGCTTCGGTCACTGGGTCAGGCGGGCTGCGACTCACGGGTTCTCCCTGCCTCCAAAGGTACCGAGGAAAGTTCTAGGTTCCCATTTAAAAGCCAGTCCCGCGTAGGGACTCTGGCGGAATAGTAATCACTTATCTCTGTCTTCTTCATTATTTACTCCTTTTGCAACTTTTTGAAGTAAACAGTGCAAATGACTTTTAAGAAAAAGGTTTTAAATATAGCTAATATTAACGTATTTGAGGTTATGGGTGGCTTTTACGATCATGGCATTTTCGGTTCCTTAAAGGCATATGTTCACTGCTCTTTCCGTAACTGCTAACAGTAAGCAGTACCGCGACTGAGCTGCGGAGCTCAGAGGTGACGCGCTGTCGCCAGGGGCGCGCTCTGACCTGCGTCAGTGCCGGGGCCGGTTCGTATCTTCTCGGCGTGAAGCCCTTGGAGACGGGGGCCGCCCTGTTTCCCTCCGGGTCGCCTTTCGGAGGTAGCATCTTGTCCCAAGGAACACGTTCATAAGCTCTACGAGATTAAGTGGTGACAATTCATGAAAAAGGCATATTCAATTGCTATCGTTCACAGCGCCACACACCAGGGCAGGCAGAATTCTGAGCTGGCCCCTGAGACTCCTGACCCCCGCCACACGACACATATAATCCAGTCCCCTGGGGTGTGGGCCCTGCAAGTGATGGGCTGTCGCCTCCACAACACCGTGTATGGCAAAGGGGGCGCTGCACGTGTGAGTTCCCTGGCCAGCTGGATGGCACGTGTCGCGTCTTGTCACTGGAATCCAGGACCACTGACTTCCTAGTCGGTGCTCATTCTCCACCTGGGCCAAGGTTTGAACTCCAACTCCACAGCATGCATTTGCCTTTTTTAGCGTAAACCAAATTTATTGTGCTTCTGAAGTAATGTTCTTGGAGTAAGTACTGCAGCTTATTGAACAATGTAAACTGGCAGAGTCGCCTCAAAAGCCGGGGTTTTGTTTTGCTTGTTTTTTAACGAGCTGTTAAAAAGATGCAGCCGATGCTAACGAGATAAATGTTTTTAATCAGTTCACTTCACTTAACGAAGGCTCACGAATGAGCAGCACTCCTGGGGGGGGACACAGACCTGCTGCCGAGCGACAGCATGCACACGCGCACACGCACACACGTACATGGACAAACACGCACACACACACATGTGTGTGCACACACACGGACAAACACGTACACACGTGTGCGTGCACACACACACATGCACACACGTACATGCACACACACGGACAAACAAGTACATACACATGTGCGCACACACACACACATGCACATACCCACACATGCACACACTAGCACGTGCACACACTCGCACACATGCATACACACATACTCATGCATGCACACACACGTGTACACACGCACACACACACACACACTAGCGTACACACACGTGCACACACACACACTGAAAGGTGAGAAAATAACTGTGCTCCCATAGTTCTTGAGGTCACTTTACAGTGGGTGATTCGCCCCTGTACTGGCTGCACACGTGCCCTGCAGCCTCCTGGCGCCCGTCTGGACAAACGACTCTGTCCGCGGTGCTGTGGACCGTATGCCCGGGCCCTTTCAACAACTGGGTTTACTTTAGCCATTATCCTGTCTCCTGGGGTTAAATACAGGCTAGAAAAGAAATGTTCTCCATTTAACATTTGTATTGTTTACGAAAGAAATTGTATAATTTTGCATGAGAATCTATAAGTAAATGTACAAATTTGCCTCCTCCTGCTTCCTAGCCACAAAATGGGCATGAAGTAAAAGTTTTTAAATATCTTAATTTTCGACTTCATACATACTAAATAAATATGACCCAAACGAAACTGAACGATGGAGGATATTTCACAGAAAATTTTTTATGCAAAAAGCACATAAGAAAAAGGTCTACCCTACGATATTTCAGTTCGTAAACTGGCATCGTTTTGGTTGGCAGATGCCCAGGTGCTGCTTTCCTCGGCCAACGAGAGCAGCGCAGAAAGAAACATCAGTAAGACTTCCGATTTTAATCACACATTTCTCATACGTTTCTTTACAGTTTCCTAAACTTTCAATTCCAATCGTCCATTCTCAGGCCTCGCCCTACTTGACCCGTTTGTGGGATGCGAAACAGTCCGTCAGCCCCTGCTCCCCGGACGCTTTTGGAACTCGTCCCCCAGGCACCGAGTGTCCGCTTCCCCCTCCCCCGTTCACTGCGTCTTCTGTCTCTTCCGCTGGTACTTTCTCGCCTTCTCGGTATAAAGATGCACGGAGTCACGATCGATGCCCACCTCCCCCCGTCACGCCTCCCTCGGTGCCCTTGTCCAGTGCTGTGGCTGTACCCAGCCATCTACACGCCACGACAGCAGACGCCCCCCCCACTCCAGATCGGTTCACCCCACGGCCTCACTGACGGGGCCACTTGGCTGTCCGATGAACATCTCTGCGTCCAGCATGTTCATACTGAACTGATGTCTGGTCTTCCCCCTGCCCCCACCCCATCTGCCTTCCTGTTAAGTGATGGCATGCCCGGGGCGGCCAGCCGCGTAGCCCAAAGCCTGGGAGTCACTCCTGGCTTCTCTTTCTTCGGACTCATAATCTCTTATCTGGAAGTTGCGCTGATTCTCCTTTTCAGCATATACTGGGAAGTTGACCCAGCCCTCCCTGAGCCACCATTATCTCTGACTCAGATGGTAGAATCTCTTATTTTTTCACAGACTCATCACCTTCTAAGATATGGTCTATTTACTTATTATATTTGTTGCTTACTTTCCATCTCCCTGTGGAATAAGAGCTCTTTGCGAGGAGAGATTTTGCCCGCTTTACTCACTGATGAATCTCACGGCCTAGGGCATAGACACACGGTAGGTGCTCTATATATTTTTTGAGCAAATAACTGAGTTCTCCTAGTTTTCTCTGCTCTTGTTTGATATGATGATGCAGTCTTCTCTCCTCCTTTCTCTCTGACCATTTCCTTCGTTTTAGTTTTATGCTTCTATTAAATAAAGGTTTCCTTTAAGACTCATCCTTGAGCTGTTCATTTTAGCAATCGCCGTGCGTAACTAAATATCTGTATCTGATGTTCTCTGAATTTCTAATAGGAGGCAGGATAATGTGGGCACAAAGGGGATGAATCATTAAAGATAAAAAATATATTTTCGCATCAGAATTCTATTGGGATAGATGCTTACTTTTGTGTAGAGGACTTATAAAATGAGTCCTTGGCATTGTGTTTCTTGTCTCGGTGTGAAAGTGGTTCTCCGTCACCCTAGAAGGCGTGAACGACAGGTTAAAAGAGATCAGTGTCAGTGGGAATTGTCAGCGTTTTCTATTTACTATGCTTTCTTTCTTTCTCTTTACTTTTCCCCTGTCATCAACAAGTAAATCGAGTGCAATGCTTCCCTACTCTCCCGTATTGTCCTGGAAATTTCCGTTCTGCTATATTCTAACGATTAAGTTCAATTTTACAGAATGTACATTGAGGTTTGTGGAAAGTCAGATTTCTATGAGAAAGCTCTTGAATTTTAAACGTTGGCAAATGGTATTTAGTTCCACGTAATTAAAACATTTAATAAGTCTTGTCTGTCTTGTTTTCTAATAATACAAGGACATCGGTTGTGAAATTTCCCTCTTCCTATCTTCTATCTTATTTTATTAAAGTTATTTAATTATCAGCATAACCATTGTCATTAGCGTCCTTAAAGATTACTATTTGTTTAGATTTCCCACCATATTTTATCAGTCCATTGCCTGCTTTTGTTTCTTGGGTCCTTGTTTTTTTCCCCTCGTTTCTTGGCTCTGTTCCCTTTCACTGAGGTTCAGTTTTCAGTAATTCTTTCAAGAATTCGAACTTCTAGTCTGCTTTTGATTCACCTTCACTTTTGGATAATGTTCTAGATGGGTTTGTATCTCTGGTCGAATGGTCGTGATGATTTAACAGCGGATGCATCTCATTGACTTGGGACTGTATTATTGTATTGACTTTGGGACTGCACTGAGTTTAATAGTTGACAGGTTCTGCATCCTCCACCCCCATCTTCTGGTCATGTTTAGGATATCTGTCTTGGTTTTTCTACAGTTTCAATATATTTTGTTTAGGAGAGGGTATGTTCTGTTCTTCAGGTTTAAGACTTGTGCTTCTTTGACCTGAGAATTCAAGACTTTCACCAATTTAGACAAATCTCTATTTTATGTCTTTATTTAAGGCAATGGAGTCTCCTTATTCTCTTCTTATGAAGTTCCTATTAGACAAATATTGGACTTTCTCATCCTATCCTGCAAGTCTCTTAACTTTTACCATCTCTTCATCTTTAACTTCTGCATCTACCTTCCATTCTACCCCTACCAACTCTCCTGTCTGCCACTTTCTTCACCTGTTTCATTAAATGAAACATTAAACATGTTCATTAGATTTTTCAAAATTTTACTAAAGCTACATGAAGTGAAATAGTGTAATATTTCTGTTAGTTTGATGAATTATATTGATTAATTTTTCAATGTTAAGAATATATTTGCATTCCTGAGATAATCCTCACTTGATCCTGATATATTACCTTTTATAAATTACCGTTTTTGATTTGCTAATACTTTAAAAGAATTTTTATGTCTGTATATGAGAAATATTAGTCTGTAATTTCCTCTTTTATTGTAGTATCTTTGTTTTGGGGATGCTAGGTTAAGTTGGACTTCTAAAACTAGTTGGAAAGTATTCTATTTTTTGAAATAACTTATAAAAGATCGATGTGATCTATTCCTAGAATGTTTGATAAAATTCAGCAGTGAAACCATCTGATCTTGGAGTTTTCTGTGTGGAAAGCTTTTTGATAATAAATAAATAAATTTCTTTAAGATAGAGGGAATTCATGTATTTTGCTTCACCTAATATCAATTTTGGTAAGTCGCACTTTTAAAGAAATGTGTTCATTTAATGTAAGGTGTCAAATTAACGGGCATATAGCAGTTTATAATATTCCCTTATTTGTCTTTTAGGATCTATAGGAATAACTCCTCTTCAATTTCCTATATTGGTAATATGTATTCTTTCTCTTTTTCTTGATCATCCTAATGAAAGGTCTATCACTTGTGTTGATCTTTCCAAAGAAACAGTTTTTGGATTTTAAATTTTTCTCGTGTATCTTTGGTTTTCGTTGACTTCTACTCTTATCTTCGCTTAGCCATTTAATATATTCAGGTCCCAAAGATGTCCATGCCGTAGGCCCTGTGCACGTGTTACCTTACCTGGGACAGGGGGATCTAGGGGACAGATTAAATAAAAGTTGCTAATCAGGGGATCTTAAAATAGGAAAATTATCCCAGACGGGCAGACGGGCATGGTTCGGTCCTAGGGCCCCTACCCGTAGAAGGCCAGGGCAGAAGCGGGCAGGAGAGAAGCGCCCCGTCTGCCTTCCTCGTCTCTGAGGATGAGCCGGGGTGCAGGTGGTTCCGAAAAGCTGTGAAAGGCAAATCGATAGAGCCCACTCGCGAGCCTCTAGAGGAAATGCGGCCCTGCCAATGGACACCGAGATTGCAGGCCACTTAGACATTTAGAACTATAATAAATTTGTATTGTTTGAGCTGCTAAATGTAGGTTAACATGTTCTAGCAGTAATAGAAGACATACAACCTTCCTCTTTGATAGATAGATTTTCTAGATGTAGTATTTCTTATTTCTAGATGTAGTATTTCTTATTTCTAGATGTAGTATTTCTTATTTCTAGATGTAGTGTGATGAGTTTTTTCGATCAGCATCTTATGTATGTTACTCCATTGCTCCATTGTCTTCTTATCTCAATAGTTTTTGATAAGAAGCCTTTGATAGTTTATTCGATAGTTTGTTTCTCTGGCGGCTTTCAAAATTTACTTTTTATCTTTGGTCTTCAGCAATTTGCCTAGGCTTTTTGAAAAAAAAAAATTCAATGACCCTCTTGAAACTGTAAATTTATATCTCTCATCAAATTTGGGTAATTTTCAGTAACTATTAAATATTATTTTCTACCGCATTTTCCTTCCGTATTTATTATTGGACTCCGATTGGCGCATTGTCTCATGAGTTCCTGAGGTTCAGTCCAAGATTTAAAGTTTTCTCATTTATTTTGATGAAACCTGGCTGCAGCCTGTGCAAGTGCCTCCTACTGTCAAGCTGCCCAAACCTCCAAGGTGTGAGGTTTCAGGCATTCTGCCCAAAGTAGTGGGTGGTTTTCAAAGCTAATTGTGACTTTTGATGTTTTACGCCTATGAGGGTGAAAAGGGTTCACTCACAGTTTAGTTCCCAATTCCAGAATAGAAAAAATAGTAAGGCCACGGTGGCCCCAGATGCTGCGCTTAAATTTTAGACCTTCTATCCGCTCATCGGCCTAATAATTTCTACCTTGTTAGCTCTTTGATTTTTTTAAAAAATATTAATCTGGTTGTTTTCCCATTGGAAGTATTGTCTCATGTTACTTACTTAGCTTCTACTACTGGTAGTAAAATATCCAGATTTACTTTGCCATTAAAACGTCTAAACTGATTTTAAATTTTAAAAAGTATGCTAATAAGCGTTTGGATGACGAGCACCTGCTTCATAATTCTAATTTAAGACAGAGACAGCTACATGAGCATGTAGCCAATGCCTGCAATTTCTGACACCGTTCCCTTTGGTTCGCTCTGACAAGCAGCAGCCGCAGCCTGCGGGAGCAGTGCATTCTTTGAAAAGAGACTGGAAACGGAATCAGTTAAACTAATAAACACAAAGTTTCTTTCCCCGTGCAACCGAATTCTACATTTTATCTGAATTTAGAGTAGCTCGAAACAGGCCAAATTACCCCCCACGTCTCCTGTCCTGATTTTCTTATAAGAGAAAAATGCAGCAAGACATGAAGTCGTGTCACGGTGGACGGCGTCTTGGTAAAGGAGGCTCTGGTGACATGTACTCTAAATGGCCTTTCCGTTCCACATTCATGCGCCACAGCACAATCGATGATTTGTGGGAGGCATGCCCCGTCCACCTTTGTGGTGATTAGAAAGGGCACTTGTGAAGGCAGAAGCGGGAAGAGAAGAAGTCAGCCTGACACGCGGCTGCAGGCGGATTCCCAGGCCGGTCCGTTTCAGGGAGCAGTACGTCCGGTAGTTACAGAAACGGAAGCTTATTCTTTAAAAGTATCTGTATCGATACTTCAAATGGTTATGGGTTTCTTTTTGGGTGATGAAAATGTTCTAAAATTAGATCGTCGTGATGGTAGCACAATACTATAATTACTCTAAAAAACTATGAATAGAACACTTTAAATCAATGAATTTTATGGTGTGCGAAATATATATCAATGAAGCTATTTAAAAAATACCCTTTTCATATCTGTGTTTCCCTTGGGAAGTCTTCGAATAATTTAAGCATCTATGGTCCAGAGACTGTAAAATTCACAGAGGGAAGTGACTGATAACATAAACCTTAACTTCAGAAGGATATCTAAGTTTAAATCTCGAGTTTACGTTTCCTACCCGTGAGGTCAGAGATCAGTTCCTTGCCATAACTGGGCTTCGGCTTTCTCAAATAAAACGGGGTAACAACGCTGTCCCGTCCAGAGCAGAGACAGAACTGAGACTTTTGCCCTGTAAGCCACTGTGGGGGTGCTCTGGGCGAGGGGTGGGCCAGGATGGGAGCAGATGCTCGTGAGAATGTGGTCTCAGCTGGGCACAGCATTAGTTTGTTCCCTCAAGTCAGCCAGTTGGCTGATATCTGGGGAGACGGTGTGGGAGTGCGCAGTCCTCCAGGCTGGGGGCTGTCTGCCACGCCGGCCACCACTCACTGCCACTAGAAGAGGGTGCACTTGCCAGTAATGGGGGCCTGGGTTGGGCTCTACCAGCTGCTACTGCTGTCACCCCCCACAGCACAGCTGTAGGGATGGCATAGAGGACGGACAATTTACAATGACGGTGAAGGCACAGTGCCTGGCACAGGAGACGTCATTTCACGAATGGCAGCTATTTCACGAGGCTCAAAACATCAAATACACAGACGGTGAAACCAGCTAATCACAAACGTGGTGTTACACTATCCGGTGAGAAAATCTTACCGCGCACGATGCTTCCTCATCGAATGTGAATGTGTCATTTATCGAGCGTCCTTCGTGACGAGGTTGTGAAGGGGTAACTCTCAGTGGGCTCGTCCAACCTGAAAACAAAAATATGCGTGCTTGCTGTTAAAAACACAATAAAGATTTTTTCAACTGCCAGAAATATTTTTTATTAGAAAGCTAAAATGTGTGCTGTTAATTGAATTTTCAATGCATTACCTAATAATTTTTTACAGGCGAGTTCTCTCACACTTTCTGTTGTTGTTATTATTATTATTATTATTAAAAATTTTAACAATTTTTCTCATTGGTGAGAACAGAGTAGCTTGGGAATTTACATGTTAGGATTACTATAATAGTGTAGCATTATTTGTTGTTTATTACTCATTATTGGAAGACACCTGCTGGGTTCTGTGAATCTGTGTATTTATGTGTAGATGTGTCGGGGACACTGGTGACACACAGGAGTCTGGTTACTATGTAGACGATTCGTGTATTTACGGAAGATCTGAGAATCTGGCAAATACAAAAGCAGCATTCAACAAATGCGCACTGTGCCGTCAATATCGAAAGATGAAAAACAGGGTTCCTGGTTTTGAGGTGCTCATGAATGACTAGGCAAGGCGAACACGTAAGTAGGTAATGGCGACATCACGCGGCCGCTGTGATAACAGCTGCGCTGTGAGCACCGTGAGGGCGCAGAGGAGGGGGCCTGGCTCAGCCAGACTGCGCGGAACTGGGAGCATCCTCCTGACTACGATGCCTGGTCCTGACGATGAGCAGGACTCGGCCCCCATCGCGGCAGTGTTGGAAGGACAGGCAGTCCGGGCAAGGAACAGCGTGGGCCGTGGTAGGCCTGCCCTGTGACAGCATCACAACTTTTATAGGAAATTACAAGAGGTCGGGTACAGCGACATCGTCAGATGGCCGCCAGGGAACAGTGAGAGGTGGTCAGGGAGGGGAGCCAGTCGGGACACGAAGGCCTGGGACTTAGCCTCAGTCAGCTTTCCCCTGCAAAGGGAGATGGGGAAACTACCTGGTGTGGACAGGGGACCTGTCTAGGTGAAGATGACGGTCACACCACTGGTGGTTTCCATAAGGGGAAAACCATGGTCACATGAGGCAACCTCTGTGTTCTTTGTGATAAGGAAGACTGTGTCATCTATTGCAATGAGAGGCAGAGAGACCAATCGATAAAGGGTTTGAATATAATCAGGATAAGTTTAAAATAGTTTATTAGTATATGAGAAAGCAAGCCAATTCTGAACAACAAAAATACTGTACCCGGTTAAATGTCTAGACAAGGTCAGAACTGGGCAAGAAGTCAGCAATCTAATCTTCAATGACCTAGCCCCTTGAAAAGCATACTTGGCTCTGATATAATTAATTCTGAGAACATAGCCTTCTTTATTAGAATGTATTAGAAATCATGAGTATTTAGGTTTGCTAAAAACTGAGAGTATTTATTTATTATTAATGATTATTTCCAGGATCTACAAAGTCATTGAAAGCCTAGGACAAACTATATTGAAACCAATCCTTGAACTACTGGTATTACTCTTCGAAAATGCGATCGCTAATAATACCTACTATTAATTGAATGCTTTGCCAGCTTCCAGGAATTTTGCTAAGTATTTCACATCTTAACTCACTGCTTTTTAAAAACTTTATGAGCTGTACTATTACTGCCAATTTAAGTATAAAAGAATTGAAAACTCTTGACTTTGCTTAACTTTATATCTACATTGGTTCACTCCTTCGTGTCAGATATTTTTACATGAATTACACTAAATGATCCTATTATCTCATGAAGTTACCAGCATGTGAATTTTACAAATAAGGACACACAGGCATACAGAGAGTAGCCACTCGTCCTGGGTCATAGTGAAAGTGTTTCCCCTGGATCTGAGGCGGGACAGTCCGCTGTCCAGCCTCTCTACTGTGATGTGCGAATCCAGGCAGTGCAAGGCAGTGGCTCGACGAGCTCTATCCTTGGTTCTGAACTATGGGTGCAACGTCTGTTAACCCTGCGTTAGTCAGAAGTTAGCTTTAATAAACTATTTCTTCAACCTGTAATTTGTTGGAATAATGTTTTGAGATTCTACTCTTAGAAAAATTTACAAAAACAGCCCCACACCAGGC